ATATATAAATATAAGTTTCCAGTCATGTTTTCTGGTTTGGCAGCAGAGATCTGATTGAGGTATTTCTCAAATCTGCTATACAATAATATTCGGCTAGTAACTGACCTCTCATACCAGTGTAGAACTGTTTTTAAATCTGGCACACATTTATAAATATGCCTGTTTATTATTATTTTTATATTATTTATGTAGCAGACTTTAGGAAATCTTGTGTGCATCTCTCTGACCACATGTCATAGGGATCATGTTTGTTTTTTCTTTCTCCTGTGCAATCAAGCCCTCTGAACTGATCACATTTCCCTCAGGCCAGCACGGTGGCTAGATAAGACTCAGGCAGAAACAATTGCTGGAAGCCGAGCACCGAGAGAAGTGGGCTTTTAAGACATCTTATTTTTGAATCTAGTGCAGTGAACACAATAAGAGAGTCCACAACCGATTCTGTGTATGCAGCTTGAGCTCTTTCCTTCAGCTCAACAATGACCTCCCCTGTTAAAACAAAAAACTCCAGCGTTATCAACACATACTTTCTTGGGGGTAAATGAGGTTCTAACTACCAGAAGGTGATGAATAGTATGCTTAAACAATGCTATTATACCATAATGCCCAAGTCTTTCAACAAGACAGAGTTAAGAATTCTGAATATACTGCAGCCTGCACGCTTGAAAAGAGTAGCTCTCCATTTATCTTAAATGTTTACTTAGAGTGCTTATTTTTTAGATATACATCTGTCCTTTAGCTGATTTATTTTATATCCTCCTTGGCATAGACGTTTGTCCTCTGTAGAAACATTATATTTTAGTAAATTTCTCTGAGACCCTACATGACACTTTTTTTATTCTGGATGTCCTGTACAGAGCACATTTAGTTTTCTTTTTAGGGATATCAAATTTTTGGAGGTTTGATCATAAACACACCTTCTTCTTCGTCTTTAAAAATGACTGATATTGACAGAATGATCAAATTTAGCACTCTTAGGGAAATATGATAATATTTTTAAATTGTCGTTTAAATCTGACTAATTTTCAAATTGTTTGTCGTAAATAAACATCTCAGAAAAATATGGTGGGGTTTCAAATCAGAATATAACTTTTTGTTATGAAACAGGGTATAATTTTCATACCCTTCTGCTCTTTGTTTTTAAATCGTTACATAACCTAGCTCCTGTCTACCTCTCTGAACTTTTTCATTTATACACTCCATCTAGAAGCCTAAGATCTTGCGACCAGGCTTTGTTGGTAGTTCCACATGTTAGACTTAAGCGTAGAGGGGAGCGTGCATTTGCGGTGGCAGGGCCACGGCTTTGGAATACCCTGCCTTTAGAAATTAGAATGGCCCCTTCTCTGCCTGTCTTTAAGTCCCTGCTAAAAACCTATCTGTTTTCCTTAGTGTATTGATTACTGTTATTCGGTAATTTTTTAATGGGTTGTTCATATTTTTATTTGGCTTGTTTTCTGTGTATGTTTTTATATATTTCTCTTCTGTAAAGCACTTTGGTCAGCCTAGCGGCTGCTGTAAATGTGCTATACAAATAAAATGAACTTGAACTTGAATATGTCTTCTGTAGAGGATCACCAGAACAAGCATCATGCTAATCAGGCATTTTGGGGAGACACAACAATTCAACAGGGATAGAAATTATAGATCAATATTCCTATGAAATATCAGATATTCTTATGAAAATTTTGCTACGTTATTACTATCATTATAACACTTCTTTTTTCATTATGGTTTGCCCCAAGAACACATTAATATGCAAATTAGATGCAATGTATAGATACATTGTATAGAATGGGAATACCAATTTATGGACATTTTATGGACATATTGCATAAAGTAAAATAGTCTATCAAATCATTCTGTTATATCTTTTATAACACAGTTGAGACTTATCTTTGCACAAAGTTGGGCTAAAAATAGCCTGAAACCTAAAAACTGATTGGTGAATGAAAAAAATAAAACATTGTTTTTGCCTATTCTTGCCTTTTCATGTATATTTATTTTTTTTTAAAACTTAGTCCTGGCGTCCTCTACAAAAGACACAGAATAAAATATGAATAAAATATTTTTTTCAAAAATGTTTTTTTCTCCATTTGTTTCTTATGCTCCAACCAATGTCATGATATAAAAAAACAATAAAATTCACAAAAAAAAAAATTATGGTTCTCAGGGGGATATAATATTATCTGTAGGCTATTATTATTCGCTATTTTGCACAGGGCAAATTTAATCTATTATGTTACTAAATAGTTACAATTATAAAATAATTGTATTTTATAATTTATTTAATTTTAAGTTTTGGCAATGATAAGATTTTGTAAAGCTGTTTAAATCTGAATGTGAAATATGTGCGGGAGATGTAAATGAGAGTAAATACATAACCGTGTGTGAGAGACACCACCTTGTGGCCATACAGCAGTATTGCATTCACACTGCGCACGTCCCCGTGCGTGTTCTTGGCGGTGGACGCTCGCGAGGGGTCGTGTTTCTGTAACAAAGCCACTAGAAGACAATCTCTGCTGTAACTGTCACATAGAAAATACTGACAAAATATATTAGATCGTTTTAACTTACTCCTTACTCAACTTGTGTATTACAATACACAAAACTGACCGTAATATGAAGCAGTTTGTTGCCGATGTAAAAAGTAAGAATCTATTTTGTGGTAATAGAAGTTAGCTCTGTCAGGAATGAGCTATTACGCACGTTTATAAAATAATCGATCCCTTATGAATATTAGCGGTAATTTTAGTATAATCTGTTTTAAATATTTCAGCTTACCTTGTCATGAAGTGATTTAGCACAAGTTGTTCGGTGTTTGAAGACTGACTCTGTGTCTTTCACAGTCCTGTCAGAGAAACTTCTCCACAGACAGATCAATTCAGATTTGGATGAGGTGATTGAGACTCTCTTCAAAGCGATTTCAACTCTAGATGGAGCTGCAAAACTGCAGGATTCACAGGTGTGCAATCTATGCCCACCTCAGTTGAAATCTACGGAAAGCAACAAGAGATCATGTGTTATTTTTTATGTCTTGTTTTGTCGCGTTCAGGCCTTTTTCTCGCATTTCCCCGTTATCTTGACATTAATAATTTTTATTTGTATTTTTTTAGTAGTAACACAAAGCTTCGTAGAAATGTGGTAATTGTGGTTTGATCTTTAAAGGGGTCATATGATGCGATTTCAATTTTTCCTTTCTCTTTGGAGTGTTACAAGCTCTTGGTGCATAAAGAAGATCTGTAAAGTTGCAAAGACTAAAGTCTCAAATCCAAAGAGATATTCTTTATAAAAGTTAAGAGTCAACCACACCTACCTAAAACGGCTTGTTCTAACACGCCCCCACATATCTACGTCTCTGTGTGGAAATATTAGCATAATGCCGCCCAAATGTGCACGCAAAGAAAGAAGGCTTGGTTTCAGGAACAGCAGTAGTGTTGATGCAGCCATGTCAGGGAGACGCTGTGTGTTTCAGTGAGAAAGCAAAAGCACTTTATTTGGCCTTCCGGAAGTAGATGCAATTAGGAATCATTGGTTAAGATTTATTTACAACAGAACAGCACAACCCAGATGTTTGAATTTGTGCAACGCATTTTATGGACGACAGTTTTTTTAACCTAGATGTTACACCAAATACACAAAATAATGATCTTTAAAATAGCATCATATGACCCCTTTAAAGACACGATGGAGCCTGAAGTATGAAACTTGACACTGTACAAATTCTGAATATGGACTGAATTTGTATGTTTAAATGCATGATCATTTCAAGGGTTTTGTAAGTAAAATTCCTTTTTGCTTTCTGAAGCTACAAACACTCCACATCAGTGGTTTTTTAACCAGGTGCAGTGGCTCACTAGTGGGCCTTGGTCATTTTCTCAACATTTCTGAGTCCAAGGCCTTCCATTGTCCACAACACTATTCGAAGGCCCACCACTCCTAGCCTCTTTGAATGAAATTTCAGGATTGGGATTGTTCACCCAAAAATAAATGAACACAAAAGAAGATGTTTTGAAGAATGTTGGTAACCAAACAGTTGCTGATAGCCATTGGCTTTCATAGTATTTTTTTTCTCCATACTATGAAAGTCAGTGGCTACCAGCAACTGTTTGGTTACCAACATTCTTCAAAACATCTTTGTGTTCAACAGAAAAAATAAACTCTTTTTTTACCATTGACTTTTCCAGTTGTTTGTGATATACAGGACAAGGGATAAGGAAAAAAGATATTTACAAAAAACTGTGAGTTGTGATATATATATAACTCACAGTTTCTACCCCCAAAAAATATTGTCCTATAACTAGAAAATAATTATACATTTGTCTAACTAGAGAACATTTATTTAAAAAATCATTATAAAAAATGCCAATGGAGTTTTAATAATTTATTAATTTACGTGATTTGTCCAGGCCTAGAAATCACACTTTTAACATTAGGCAAAATTAAAATATTATTTTAAAATCCTTAAATATTTTTAATATTCATTTACATTTATTATTTGTAATTCTAACAAAAAAAATAAAAAACTAGTCTTGATTATTTTAACATTATTGACAGCCCTAGAATTTAATGAAAACAAGCATAATTTCAGGCAGAAGTACAAATGCAAATCAAAGCCCATGTAGGGGACCTTGGAGTTGGAAAGTTTTGAGAAACACTACTCCACATGTTCTCTGATCTCAGTTTTTCCTTGTTACCATGACTAACCAGCAGAGAGCGCAGTGTAGAATATCTGCTGTGCTTTCAGACTGAGCTCCGGACCCAGACTCTAGAGCACATTCAACTCTGTAAAGAGATCTGGACGACCATCAAAGCATTCTTTTATAAATAATTCGTTTTAAATGCAGATTATACATGTTTGTCCAGAATGACAGGGATCGTATGCATCTTTTTGGCACATTCTTTCCTCATTAGGCACTTCTTCTAAAGACAAAACAGACACATTATTGCTGCTCTGAGTTAGAAGCCCGGGCCAAATGAAATGATCCAAAGCTTGAATCTGTGCTCGAATCAGTTTTGGAGCTGGATTATGTTGAGACCAAGCTGTTAGAAATGATTGCATGTCAGCTTCTAGAACCATAACCCCTATTTTAAAGAATTACATATTTTAATAATTTATGGATGGTGAAATTCTGACTGAATGACTGAATATTATACACTACCATTCCAAAGTTTGGGGTTAAGATTTTTCTTGTCTTTTTTTATTTCCTGAATTAAACCGAATACTTTAATTCAGCAAGGGTGTGTTATATTGCTCAAAATTAACAGTAAGGATTTATAAATGTTACAAAAGATTATTTCAAGTAAATGCTGTTCTTTTGACCTTCTTATTCATCAGAATCCTGAAAAAATATCGGTTTCTATAAAAATACTAAGCAGGGCAAATCTTACTGACCCCAAACTTTGGAATGGTAGTGTATGAAATGACATTATAAGCTCTGATGGTCCTGTACTTTGTGTCTACAGTCCTGGCAATGGAACCACCAGCCCATTTCCCTGTTCTGTGTAAGAAAGCACTGAGGATCGCTGTGTCTCTGCACAGGAAACAGCCACAGGTCGACCTCATGCGCAGCAGGTCAGTCTAGCCGAGCATTTGTTACTCACGCAATGAATGTACCACATTGATAGATAACAAAAGACACCAAAATGTTCCTCATATGACACACACCTTATATATGTGTGCATGTCACAGTAACTGTTTACACAGCCTGATTCAGCTGACCCTGCCGAGTGGCGTGTCTGAGGTGCAGTCCTGCGTGTTGGAGGAAGTGTGGGGCTACTATGAGGAAGCTCTGTCCATCATAGCAACCGCAGTGAGTTGGTTACGGTGACTCAGCAGCCGTCACACACAACCTGCTGCAGCTCAGCCCCGCAATTATCCCCATCTTTGAAAGAATCTCCTCTTTCTGTCAATGGGCTTTTAGTTATGCCTCAGTTCGCAGATGCTCCATTCACCAGCTTCTTCCTGCCAATTTAGATGCTAATTTGAAAATATCGCCCGTGTCCTTTATCTTGAACTAGCATTGCAGAAAACTTGCATAAGTATCAGGATGCTATTCTGAATTCGTGACCTTCATGACACCATCGATATAAAATTGCATTATATAAGTTTGCAACTATTATTACAGCATTTAAAGCTCCAATATCTGATCCATTCCTCCATGATATCACACACGGACATCTTGCTTTCTCACACAGCCAGAGGACTTTCCAGAACTGGAGATCCTGTGGCTGCTGACCCGAGCGTGGAATACGGGAATCCTGCTCTACAGTCTGGCCCAGTATCCCGAGGCCGAGAGGTCTTCCTGAAGCTCCTGGGCTCCCTGCAGGACAGCTATCAGACTCGGGTAACGCTGCAGGAGGCGGATGGACCGCCTTACAGCTGTTTGAGTGCTCGACCCAAGGCACCAGATTTCATTTTCATGTTTCATATTCTCCTCGCCTCAAGTCAGGTGCGCAAGCTGCTTTTTTCGTCACCTCAGTAGGCGGCTTAATTAGAGCAGTAGGGTTGGTTACAGCTATGTGGGTAGGTAGTTAAAGCTACATACAGTAGGGAGGTTTAGTTCAGCTAGTAGATTAAATGTCATTTGGCAAGCATTAATTCAACAACCCGAGTTCCAAGAATTCACATGATAATTTTCATTAAAAACATTTTGTTCATGTTGTTTGGTAAAAGAAAACGTGGCAAGGTGTGAATAAAATACATGAAATGTGTCTCCCCAGATGGCAGGTCTGTACAGTGAGGTGTTGGACAGGCTGGATAAAGCAAAGAAGAATCTCATTATTGAAGAATGAATGATGGCGGCTTCAGTCGCAGATGGAGATCTCAGGTCTAATGGCACGTGTTTAATATGTAGTGTGAATTTCCTTGCATGTTTTTGAGAAGCTAAGAGATGTACAATGCATCTGAGGGTTTGTTCGTACAGTTATGAAATGATTAAAAAAATAGAATGTCTCGTATTCATTTAATCTGAAATATTTTTTGGCAGTATTATTTTATTACCTGTCATCGGGTTATCTGTTTGAGCGTTTCTCGGTCGACTAGTTCAAAACATCTGCATTGCGATACAAAACAAATAAAAATGCATGCATTGAAATCGTAACAGAGTCACATAGTTTATTTCCAAACAAACTCTTGTCCAGTCCAAAAAAAACAAAACTAAAAAAAAAAACTAAAAAACAAAATAGTAATTGGTAAGACTGTGTTTTCTCCTGACCAGGATATAAAAGAGCAGTTTTCCTGGTGTCCTGATGGGTTGTACCACCTGTAATCATGGGGAGGACACTACTGTACAATCAAAGGGTTCATATTTGCAAGCACTTACTGCACAAGTGTGCCATCACATCAAAAACTCAATCACTCAAAAAGACAAATCAACCATTCCCTCCCCATTTCACGCTCATGCCCTCTGGAGCAGAGACCCTCATTAGTACACCAGTACTGCTGATTCAATCCACTTCATTAAAAATATAGCACAATGAATCACAATTCTTTGGGCATCAACGGTGCGAAGTCAGCTGCTTTTCTGCTCGTCACCTCAGAGGACCAGATCTACGCTAAAAGGAATAATTTATGCTCCTGGTTTACTTTAATATCACTCCATGGGTTGCTGTCTGCATGTCTTATATATATATATATATATATATATATATT